TTTATACATACAGGTAAACCAGGTGATAAAGTTTACACATACAGATAAACCAGATGATAAAGTTTACACATACAGGTAAACCAGGTGATAGTTTACACATACAGGTAAACCAGATGATAAAGTTTATACATACAGGTAAACCAGGTGATAAAGTTTACACATACAGGTAAACCAGGTGATAAAGTTTATACATACAGGTAAACCAGGTGATAAAGTTTACACATACATGTAAACCAGATGATAAAGCTTACACAGAGAAAAGCCAGGTGATAAGTATATAACATCCAGGTAAACCAAATGACAAAGTTTATCCATGCAGGTGATAAAGTTTATACATACAGGTATTTACAGAGACAATAGGTATATACATAAATCCTACATAAAGTACATATGTACTGATAATCCATATAAGTATATATAAATACATGTGAATTAGATACTAATAAAGAGCCTGACAAACTAGAAACTAAGATGTAAAGCAGTCAGTGGGGTTTTCAACCATCAGATAAATTCTAAACATAAACCGGGGAGTCTACATTCAAATCAACTAATTATTCAATTGTAGACACATTGTAGTTTGCTGATAGAACACAGATATGTAAAATATTGAAATATTCATGTGTGACTTGTTAGTATTGATCTAGCTGTTTTGTTACTACACCATCAGTCCTGGTTTACATAGTTGTGGTAGGTTATTCCCGATGACAGACATGGCCATGCTTTACTACTGAGTAGCTGAATTCCCGTGACACGTAGTCATCGTACCAGTAAATCTAATTAACTGACCGATTGTTAAATCTCAATAGTTTAATGGCCACACTTCATATTCCTTGTTTGATCTGAGATGCTGGCCTCATTTTCGTGTCATCCAACCATTAAAATAAATATAATTTATAACAAGCATATTGTATCTTATGTAAAAGGATTCCTGTGTATCACTTTATCACTAGAGCTGGTGAAATATACAGGGAATTTATCGTTTGTGGAAAGTATGTGTAAAAGGAACAACCGTGTACACTACGGTGATTAAATATTCCCATCCATAAGTAATGTGTGCTTTTATCTCAAAGAATAAAACTTGTTAATTTGATGGTTAAACAAACCTTTGACCCAGTGTAATATTTACCTAGCAGCCTTTTGACAATATCCAGTCCCAGATATAAACAGTACTGGGACAGCTGATTAAGTATATTTTTGATCTGTTACTCTAAATTAGACCAACCACTACAATAGGTTTTAGTTATTTTGTCAACACAAATTCTAGAGGTCTTCTTTTGACAGATTTGTAGAATGCAAAGTTGAATTCTCTTTCTTTCCGAGCACACAGTAACAATAGACCATCTGTGGTACAAAGATTGGAAGTGTGGTACTAGCCGATATCCAATCATTGTATGAAGAAAAGCCAAGGTATTGGGCACCGTGATTAAACTTTCTGGCTTTATATTCCACTTGTAAGCAAGAATCCACATGGAGTTATATTGTTGTAATTGTCAATCTAATTCTTGTTAATCCACAATTCAGACCGTTTGAATTAACATGACATCAAACATCGATTCCGGCCATATTGGTCTAACATGACATCAAACATCGATTCAGGCCATATTGGTCTAACATGACATCAAACATCGATTCAGGCCATGTTGGTCTAACATGACATCAAACATTGATCACAGCCATGTTGGTCTAACATGACATCAAACATCGATTCATGCCATGTTGGTCTAACATGACATCAAACATTGATCACGGCCATGTTGGTCTAACATGACATCAAACATTGATGTAACATGACATCAAACAAACAGCCATGTTGGTCTAACATGACATCAAACCTCGATTCAGGCCATGTTGGTCTAACATGACATCAAACATTGATCACGGCCATGTTGGTCTAACATGACATCAAACATTGATCACGGCCATGTTGGTCTAACATGACATCAAACATTGATCACAGCCATGTTGGTCTAACATGACATCAAACATTGATCACAGCCATGTTGGTCTAACATGACATCAAACATTGATCACGGCCATGTTGGTCTAACATGACATCAAACCTCGATTCAGGCCATGTTGGTCTAACATGACATCAAACATTGATCACGGCCATGTTGGTCTAACATGACATCAAACCTCGATTCAGGCCATGTTGGTCTAACATGACATCAAACAACGGCCATCTGTAAGAACAAAAATATAGAAATACGTTAAACAATATTGTCAACATCAATATTAACGCATGTACTCCAGTACAATTGCTTTTTAGCATCTGATATATAACTGAGTGTAGCCATTAATGTCAACAAAGATTTCAGGTTGCAGAGATAAGAACAAAAATATAGAAATACGTTAAACAATATTGTCAACATCAATATTAACGCATGTACTCCAGTACAATTGCTTTTTAGCATCTGATATATAACTGAGTGTAGCCATTAATGTCAACAACAGGCAGAGATACCAACAACAGTAACACTGCTCATTGTCAACATAACTACCAACAGCTGTAACACTGCTCATTGTCAACATAACTACCAACAGCTGGAACACTGCTCATTGTCAACATTACTACCAACAGCTGTAACACTGCTCATTGTCAACATAACTACCAACAGCTTTAACACTGCTCATTGTCGACATAACTACCAACAGTTGTAACACTGCTCATTGTCAACATTACTACCACCAGCTGTAACACTGCTCATTGTCAACATAACTACCAACAGCTGTAACACTGCTCATTGTCGACATAACTACCAACAGCTGTAACACTGCTCATTGTCAACATAACTACCAACAGCTGTAACACTGCTCATTGTCAACATAACTACCAACAGCTGTAACACTGCTCATTGTCAACATAACTACCAACAGCTGTAATACTGCTCATTGTCAACATAACTACCAACAGCTGTAATACTGCTTATTGTCAACATTACTACCAACAGCTGTAACACTGCTCATCGTCAACATAACTACCAACAGCTTTAACACTGCTCATTGTCGACATAACTACCAACAGTTGTAACACTGCTCATTGTCAACATTACTACCACCAGCTGTAACACTGCTCATTGTCAACATAACTACCAACAGCTGTAACACTGCTCATTGTCGACATAACTACCACCAGCTGTAACACTGCTCATTGTCAACATAACTACCAACAGCTGTAACACTGCTCATTGTCGACATAACTACCAACAGTTGTAACACTACTCATTGTCAACACAACTACCAACAGTTGTAACACTGCTCATTGTCGACATAACTACCAACAGTTGTAACACTGCTCATTGTCGACATAACTACCAACAGCTGTAACACTGCTCATTGTCAACATAACTACCAACAGCTGTAACACTGCTCATTGTCAACATAACTACCAACAGCTGTAACACTGCTCATTGTCGACATAACTACCAACAGTTGTAACACTGCTCATTGTCGACATAACTACCAACAGTTGTAACACTGCTCATTGTCGACATAACTACCAACAGCTGTAACACTGCTCATTGTCGACATAACTACCAACAGCTGTAACACTGCTCATTGTCAACATAACTACCAACAGCTTTAACACTGCTCATTGTCAACATTACTACCAACAGCTGTAACACTGCTCATTGTCAACATAACTACCAACAGCTGTAATACTGCTTATTGTCAACATTACTACCAACAGCTGTATCACTGCTCATTGTCAACATTACTACCAACAGCTGTATCACTGCTCATCGTCAACATAACTACCACCATCTATATCACTGCTCATCGTCAACATAACTACCAACAGCTGTACCACTGCTCATTGTCAACATAACTTCCAACAGCTGTAACACTGCTCATTGTCAACATAACTACCAACAGCTGTATCTTCAATAGTATATTTGTCCTTACCTTTGTCACTGTGGACACTACTAAGACATACAAACAAGAACTGTTTAATACCGATCATGTTGTGATAAGTTCACTACCCTATTCAAAGTGAAAAGGTAAGAAGTTGTTTAATTACTCAAACTAAATATGTTTTCTGCCTATTCCTTTTACCTCCTACATATTCAGCCAAGCTCATGAGCATGTAAAAAACTTGAATCATAATTGTCTAGAACAGATACAAATTACCATACAAAAATGCTTTGAGTGGTACCTGATTTGAAATAAAACAGCAATTGTTGAAACTACCAATACTAGAAATCCAAAGATCTATATAGACACATTGGGTATCCATGTAGTTATGTACCTTAAAACCTCAAGTCTGTAGGAGTCTGTAAAAGAACCTTGGTGTCCATGTAAACATAAAAGCTTGTGTCTATATCAACAGGTCATGTCTACAGACCATGGGTCAGTATCAAACTGTCCAGTGTGTCAGTTATTGAACTGGCCAGTGAAAAGATAGCCTCACTGTTGTGTTAGATAGTTGGTAAATTAAATTCCTTATCAATTATAAGTGACTTTTCTGACAGGTAGATAAATGCAGGGGAGTTTATACTTGTTTGGTGACCTTGAACATATTGACGTTTGAAGTCCTAAGGTTTGCTGTAAACCTGTTTGGTCACACTGGTTAAGAATATATACATACACTTGACATCTTTTAAAATCATTCAGTATGCAAACTTTACCAAATTGACTGGAATATCTATGCAGTGGGTATACCTCCCTTTCTATAGAAGAATTGTCCTTCTAGATTTAAACATTTTTGAATAGCTAGCATCACTGCCCAAAAAAAATCTCTAGAAATACATGTATGTTTACTTTTATAAATTCATAGTGAAAGACACACATTTTCCCCTTAATTTTCTTGCTATATTTGTCCTTGGACACATAAATGACCTTGAACATGTATTAATGACCTAAATATGCTTGCCAGCTGTCTTTGCCTTTTTTTAACAAGGATTCTGAACACACAATCATCAACACTTATCATTCCTAGTTTTAAATATACAAATGAACCATAACAAAGAGCAGCTAAGAACTCTCAAGTTTTCATGTACCCTGAATAGTTTTACAAGGTTTGGTGAACTCTGTACTCTGAATAGTTTTACAAGGTTTGGTGAACTCTGTACCCTGAATAGTTTTACAAGGTTTGGTGAACTCTGTACTCTGAATAGTTTTACAAGGTTTGGTGAACTCTGTACCCTGAATAGTTTTACAAGGTTTGGTGAACTCTGTACCCTGAATAGTTTTACAAGGTTTGGTGAACTCTGTACCCTGAATAGTTTTACAAGGTTTGGTGAACTCTGTACCCTGAATAGTTTTACAAGGTTTGGTGAACTCTGTACCCTGAATAGTTTTACAAGGTTTGGTGAACTCTGTACCCTGAATAGTTTTACAAGGTTTGGTGAACTCTGTACTCTGAATAGTTTTACAAGGTTTGGTGAACTCTGTACCCTGAATTGTTTTACAGGGTTTGGTGAACTCTGTACCCTGAATAGTTTTACAAGGTTTGGTGAACTCTGTACTCTGAATAGTTTTACAAGGTTTGGTGAACTCTGTACTCTGAATAGTTTTACAAGGTTTGGCGAACTCTGTACCCTGAATAGTTTTACAAGGTTCGGTGAACTCTGTACTCTGAATAGTTTTACAAGGTTTGGTGAACTCTGTACCCTGAATTGTTTTATAAAGTTTGGTGAACTCTGAACTCTGAACCATGCAATTTCTATCACATAAAGTTTAACTTGTTACATGAATCTGATCCTTACAATAATATCGCACCAAAAAAGGAAAGTAAATATCAACATATGTATAAACTTTGAAGGATTACACTATGTTCTGTAGCTAGGTAGAAAATGATAAAGATAGTGCTATATTGATACAACAGAAGAAAAGCTATTCTGATTTATTCAGTTGTTTCCCCATATCTCCTTGCCATATTTATAGAGAGAACCCAACAAGGAATTCAAGACTGCAAAATCCATCAATTTCAACTTACATCCAGTTACGACGGGAAAAAAAAAAAAAATTGTCAAGCTTCCATATCGCAAATCCATTTTCTTGGACTGCTACAAATACCATTATATCTTTGTATGATAAATTACTTGATGGATCATTATTTATTAACTTGGTTACATTTATAACACATAATAATGTATCGCAGTTGGCACAATATTTTCTGACAGTGTTCCAGTCCTTTCTGTGTATATCTGTACATAAACTTCAGTATTAAATATATAAAGTAAACAGGCCAACTTGCCTATTCATGTTATTTATGTCATTTTTCATTCAGAAGTCTCAGCCTTAATTCTATATACATCTTAATTCAAATAGCATTTAAATTTTCTTCCTTTGTGAAGCTCAGAAATAGATTGAATTAATAATACATAGATATATCTATATATTTTTACATTGGTTAGTCAACCTTGCCTACTCTGCTGAATTGATGTTGAAATTCAACATATTTATTACGGAGAACTTTCCCGTCAGGTGTACTTTAGAACATAAATACCGGCGCCAGACGACGTCGATAACGTCAAACCACAATAAAAACATAACATTCCCTCATTATTTTAACACGTATAAGACAAACAAACACAGACCCACTGGTATAGACATTGTGTATTATAATCAAACAGAGTTATGAGAATAGAATTCAGTTTGATAAGTCAGCAAGAATAAGGAAACAAACAAGACAACAGTAGTTTTTGCCTTGGAGTTTACAAAAGACAGACTGACACTCGAGTATATAATGGATTACTAGTAGTCTGGTTTTCTGCTCTCAACAAAACTAAGCTTCAATATACATAAGTCATGTGTTGCAGCCTGCCTGTTTGGCTTTCTTTTTTATTAATTTGGAATATTTCTTCCTAAATACAGCATCTGAGAATAACAGAGCATTTTTTCAATAATCTAATATTCTAATATTTTCAATTGGTCCTATTTCATAACATCAATTCAGTGAACATGAAAACCATTTCCTTCTGTGGTCTGTTAAAAACAGAAAAATAATTTGAATTTCAAGTGTAACTACTTCTTTAAACGTCATTTCAGCAATAACAGTGAATAAAAAAGTTGTTTATTTTGAAATGAAAGCAAAAATTATTCTTGAAAATATATAAATATACTCCATGCTAAATGCTTTACATCATGCAAATTTTCATGCATATAGGAGGATGCCAAGATGCAACTGTCATGCAAACAACATCAATTAGGAAAGAACAAGACTGAAACGGTGATTAGCGTATACCTTCGTAATTCTTAACATCAACGTTTATTTGATGATGATCAGTCTTGATAATTATCACCTTTTAAACATTAAAGTTGAAATAAGTATAATTAGTAGCTTGTCTAGACCAGCAGAAACAAATCAACATAGTCACAACAGCCTGACATCATCAGTGAAAAAAAGCTCACCAAAATCACAATATTGTTTACTTCAAAATGCCAAGGATATACTGAAGCCACTGAATTGATTTGTGTACATCACAATAAACTACAGGTGTGTTGTTGTAAGAAGTTAATTAAGTCTGGGACTTCAATTAAATTAAGGAATAAATCACTTTTCAACAGACCAGCTTAGCTTTCCAGAATGCAGAACACATTTTGAAAAATTGGCTAGGAATCAAAATCTACACCTTTAGTGTGTACAGGAGTTTCTACATAATCCAGGCCGAGCTGGAATCATATAATACAATCAGTTTGCACTGGCGATATCATAGAAAACAGGAATTCATGCAAGAATCCTATTATACAAGCATAAATGCTTTCTGACATGTTATATGATTCAGCAAGTTTGCAAAAATCACTAAATCATCATTTTGATTTGGCGTTATCACTAATACATCTAATAATTTCTGGTGATTTATACAACACTAAGCTTGTGTAATGAATGTTTGGCGTAGGATCCTATCAATCAAAACCTAATTCTATTTATATGGAACAAGAAGTTTTATTTTTCACTAAACAACATAATTGTTAAAAGTGATTAGTAGATCCGTCTTTAGCCTTCAGGTTTTTTCTCTGTGTTGTATAATGAGAAATAACCTTAACGTGCTTGGCTAATGCATGGTTATCATAGGCTTACACATACTGTACGTTTATCATGTCTTTACAATCATCTTGTAAAATTCTTAAACGATCTGATTATGTTTCTCAGACAAAAGACACTTCTGGATCATTGTTACAAGTTGCTCATGTCTAATGAGCTTCAATATAGGCCACACCATTACCATACATTATATGCATACATTTGAATAGACCTTGAACACATATCTGAGATAAATTCACTGTAGTCTGGCTAGTGTTATTTGGCTTATTATTAAATGTTAATAATTACAAGGATACATAAGGTCAATGTGACAGGCAAAGAATAATTCAATTGGTCTTTGTACGACAAATTCCAGTGATGAAATAAGCCATAGTTTTTAACATTGCTGGTTACAAATTACATTAATTGCTCTAAGACTCATTACTGATATATTGATGTATAATGATTCAGTTCTAGAAATTAAAACTCAAAAAAAAAAAAAAAAAAACAATTACAAAATGAACATCGTCTATATAAATGTAATATATTACAAAAAATACTTTTTCTTGACTAAGGAAATTTATGTTTGTATAATTATTGTGATTGTCTGCTGGCTAGTGCAGTTAACTGATAACTAACTTGCTAATTACTTTCCCAAATATACCTGATGTATAACTGTAACAGAGACCATGATGAGGTGTAAAGTCATGTTCAATCCAGAATTACACATGCTTCCATGGACTTTTCCTAGTAGGTGTAAAATCTCCTACATTTGGGGACTTTTAATTACAGAAATCAAATTCAGCAACTCTATGAAAATGAAATCCTGGCACCAATAAGAAAGGAAATCAATAAACACCAAGCATCTTATGAAAAAGTAGTTTGTATTGAATTCGTGACAAAAATTGTCTGGTAGAAATCTGGACATTACAAATTACAATTACCAAGACACTGTGATGTTTAGATTTACTGTCTACTTGTGATATTTGAGAATATTTGACTGTTGACAAGTACTGGGACATCACACTGAATTATACTGTCTACTTGTGATATTTGAGAATATTTGACTGTTGACAAGCACTGGGACATCACACTGAATTATACTGTCTACTTGTGATATTTGAGAATATTTGACTGTTGACAAGCACTGGGACATCACACTGAATTATACTGTCTACCTGTGATATTTCAGAATGTTTGACTGTTGACAAGCACTGGGACATCACACTGAATTATACTGTCTACTTGTGATATTTCAGAATATTTGACTGTTGACAAGTACTGGGACATCACACTGAATTATTCTGTCTACTTGTGATATTTGAGAATATCTGACTGTTGACAAGCACTGGGACATCACACTGAATTATACTGTCTACTTGTGATACTTCAGAATGTTTGACTGTTGACAAGCACTGGGACATCACACTGAATTATACTGTCTACTTGTGATATTTGAGAATATTTGACTGTTGACAAGCACTGGGACATCACACTGAATTATACTGTCTACTTGTGATATTTGAGAATATCTGACTGTTGACAAGCACTGGGACATAACACTGAATTATACTGTCTACTTGTGATATTTGAGAATATTTGACTGTTGACAAGCACTGGGACATCACACTGAATTATACTGTCTACTTGTGATATCCAGGATGAAGTCTGCATATAGCCCAAAGAAAAAAATTCTTTTCTGATTTATGGCATATATAAGCTACAATCAAGTCAATCACAGTCCTTTTTTATTGAAAATTAACAAGTTCGGCCCCTTGAGCAACACAAATTGCATTCTTTTGAATTTCCGGACATTCTGCCAATAATATACAGTTAAACCTAGCTCAAGGTGACATGGAACTGACATTAATCACACATTTCCAGCAAATATAAACTGAGGACAGAGTCAGATCAATAGTCTATAGGAATAGGGACTCATGCTAGCAGTGTCACCATCAAAGGGTCACCCTACCACGACATCTAGGATCTTTCCAGACAACCCAGCCTTATATCATTTTTTGTGTCTGCATACTTTACCAATTAGAATAATCTTCTATAATCCATTTAACTACTGAAGGATACACATCACTGATAAATTTTATACCGATTCTTCCTTATATGGAATACTGAAGGATACACATCACTGATATATTTTATACCGATTCTTCCTTATATGGAATACTGAAGGATACACATCGCTGATCAATTATATACTGATTCTTCCTTATATGGAATACTGAAGGATACACATCACTGATCGATTTTATACCGATTCTTCCATATATGGAATACTGAAGGATACACATCACTGATCAATTTTATACAGATTCTTCCTTATACTGACTACTGAAGGACAGTTACAATTTTGGGTCAGCTACCCAGTGCATATTCCCTGGATGTTTATCGTATCAACACCTTCCTACTTCCTCTCAGCTTCAGTTACTGCAAGGTTATCCAACTCTTTTTAACTCTAATCTTACTCAATTCAAATTTCAACATCGCTACTAGAAGTTGCTGCTTTGCACACAAGGCTTTTATAATTCTTTGATAAAAGGATAATTTACTACTTTATGGTGCTTATTATATATTTGTTGCCACATATCTACTACAACCTATTGTATAAAATGAGTAGGAACTTGTTTAATGTACATCTACATGGAAATATGGTGGAATCAGTGATATTGTTTGG